GCTTTTAAATAGCTTCTATATTATCACCTAAAGATTATGAAATTTTTTTTTTCAGTTTCAAACAATACTATTTTGAGTTTATAATTTTATTAAATTTCACAAAAAATAGCTTTTAAATAGCTTCCACTCGTACATTATCACCTAAAGATTATGATTTTTTTTTCAGTTTCAAACAATACTATTTTGAGTTTACATTTTATTAGATTTCACAAAAATAGTTTTTATGTTACTCACAAAACAAATAAAAAAATCGTTCTCCAAAATTTGTCACGGGCGAGGCTTCAGCTTCATTGACCTCGTCCTTTTACTTTTTTACAGAGAAATAATATTTAAATCCTATTTCCTCTGTATATTTTTTCATTGGTTATAATCAGGAAAATTTTTAACAGTTAACATTTCAATTTTTTAATCTTGTAATAATCGCAAGGGTGCCGAAACATGTCCCAACTTGACTAATAAAAATTTATAGATTTGTGAAGTTCACTTTAATATTACTTACTCTGTTTAAAACTATAAAACATCCATTTTGAGAAGAAAATGGATCGAGTTCTACAAATAAATGAAAAAAATATCTATGTATTTTATAAATAAAATAGTATACTAAAATACGAGTTGCAGAAGGCACCCCATTCAAGCACACCATTTTTTTTCTATTTTGAGCTTTTTATGTTGTTTTTAAAGAACCAAAGGCGAATTTATAAATTTGGGACATTTGGCTACTTTCATCGACTACATTTTTCTATTTCTTTCAAAAGTATATCAAATTTTGTATGTCCACTTTCAACCTCATTATTTCTTAAATCTACTTTATGTCAACAGTCTTCGTAATCTCGAAGACCAAGAAGAAAGAAATTTAAACTTCTCATATTTTTACAAAAAGTTAAAGAATTGAAGAATACCATGCAGTAACAATTTTTTTGTATTTTTGATTTTTTAGCTGTAATTAAATACAACGCAAGAACCGCTTTAGAGTACATGGACAATAATTATAAAAAAAAATCAATAATTCGAGTACATATTAGTAAAAAATCGTAAAACACGAAAATGTAAGAGAAAAAGCATGCTAGCATAAGTTTATTATTTGCAATTCAAGTAATTTAGAAATGAAATTTTAGAAGTACCTCTCCCAACTTCAAAATTCTGCTTTGAGACACCGGAATTTATTCGTAGATACTAAGTTTCAGTTCAGAAACATTGAATTCTGATTTTTATACTTGAAAAATCCAGACTGAGTACTTGTAGATTTTAACTTGAAAGTTTTTCGATTGAATTCTCACTTGCAACATAAAAATTCTGAATTCCAACCTTGAAATTACGAAAGCACGAACTCCGAATTCTATATTCGGAATTCCGAAACTTTCAAATTTTGATTGTAAATTTAACTTTTAACTTCCAACACAATAAGTCACAGATTAAATTTGCACTAAGTTTATCTTCAAATTTAAACCTTAAAAGTCAAAATTATGAAGAAAACTCCAACTTTTAAACCTGCAACTTTAACTTTCAAACTTGTGTGAAAGAGTAAAGGATTTTGGTCTCTTTCAAATGATACTGCCGATTAAAAAAATAGAAGAAATAAACAAAAAATAATTCTCAATTTTATTTCTTCAGAGTGGTAAAAATGGTTGGGAGGGAATTTTCTAGGTTGCTTGGAATGTTTTTTGAGCTTATGCGACATTTCGTGTACAGGGTGTATAAAAAACAATAATAAACAAAATAAAACAAAAGAAAAAATGGTACCAAAAATAAAACAATGCAAGCAAAAACATAGTTATAAGAATTACATGGGGTCACCCTACACATGTATAAAAGTTAATATAATGAATAATTGCCACTTACTGTGCTTAGCAAAATCCCCCTTTTGGCCGCCTTAAACTCCGTAAAAACCTTCTTCCTAATACCCTGATCCATAGATCCATGCAACTTAAAAAATTCAGTATCGAGCACACACTGTTCCTCCTCATCACTATCCTCAAAATTTTCATTTTCCAACAGTGTCACATTTCCAATTTTCAGTTTTCCTCGATTTTTCGGCATCTTTGCCAAATATTTCATAAACAATTCGTAATGATAGTCCACCATCTGACTCGTGGCCATAAACACAAACACCTTATGTTTGGCTTTCGCCAAAAGCAAAGCCGATAAAGTAAAAAGTCTGTGTTTGATATGAGTCATAATAAATTCCTGAGTAACGGTGTTTGGAATGACCATATGGTCGGGATTTATGTTGGGTGAGTCGTCAAGAGTGTCAATATAAGTGTGGTTTTTCATAAGGAAGTCTGCTAATTCGGCTATGCCTTTGTTGAGAGTAGCTGAGAGAAGTATTGTTTGGCGGTTTTTGCTATTTCGACTTCGCAAAGGTGGCAAAGATTCGTCCGATTCGGTCTTGATTTCTTGTGTTTTTTTGTGTAAAAGCATAGCCATAGGATCATAATCGGAGTGTTCTCTCGTCCGATCTAACTCTTCTACTATCTTCACTATATCTTTCTTAAATCCCATGTCTAAGAGACGATCTGCTTCGTCAAGAACTAAACATTTAACATTGTCAATTTTAAAAGCTGAAGTGTGTAAAATATGGTCAAGTAGTCGACCCGGAGTACCGATAACAACGTGTACTCCTTTACGTAATCTGTCTTTTTCAGTTTTTCGGTTTTCGCCACCGCAAAGATGGCCTATTACGAGCCATTGAAAGGTCTACATAAAAACAAGTTCAAGTGGAAAATCTTTAATCAGAAGATTACTTACGTTAATTTTACCAAATATTTCATGAGTTTGTAAAGCTAATTCTCTCGTTGGTACGACTATAATGACTTGGACTCCATCTTGTCTTTGTAAACGAGGATCGATGCTTAGAAGAGCATCCATTATTGGCAAAGCGTAAGCCAAAGTTTTCCCAGAACCAGTTTGGGAACGAATCTTAAAAATACAAAGGTATTCACACTAAATATCGACCCTGAAAGTGTTCAACACGCAACACAGAATATTATGTACATAATTAAACAGCCAGTAAATTACCTAAAAGTTATAAAGCCCTTTTATTTCCATTTGACAAAGTTTTGAGGAAGTAGAATTTACACATTTAAACAAAAAAAAGTTTTAAAATTGCTCTAAGGAAAAATTTGCGTTTTAGTGGTTAAACTGTTTTGCTCTAAGGTACAGATATATACCTTAAAAAGACAAAAAATATTAATTAAAATATCCCCACAAAAAAAGAAAAGAAAAAGTAATCGGATGTTTAAATTATTAGAACAAATACTAAGAAAAAGTTGTCCCGAAAGTAAAAGAACTCGAAGAGAAGAGCTACAAAACCAGAAAATGAAATAGGAGTAACAAAAACAATAACTGAGAATGTAAATCAAACTTTTATGACTAGGCAAATTGGGATTAGCCAGTCTTCAAATTCCCGAACATTGAAAAATAACAAATTTCAAAAAGGTATCTCAAAAAAACTGAAAAAGTTGTAATTTCTTGGACTGTGATTGATACGACAAAAGTTATGAGAAAAATTTTAGTTTCATAATCTGAAAGAAAATTTAATGTATCATTTTTAGTTTTTGAATTATTGGAAAAAACGGAAATTTGTAATTTTTGTTTTTATTTTTTCAAGCGAAAACTAAAAAACCTAGACGTTTTTAACTAGGACGTTCTTAAGGCACTTTCTCACAAGGAATTTAGGAATCTAAATCTGTCATCGTATTTTCCAAGGCGCTCTTGATTCAGAGTCACAACACTCAATTTTAATTTTTTTTATAGACGCCATATTTGATTTCTGTATTTTTGAAAAGTCTTTTTGTTCCTGATTACAACGATGTATCACACGATATGATAAAATTTGCCCTAATTTAACCGACCTCGTATCTCTTATAATAACTGAGATCCCCATGGTGGAGCTCGAAAAACGAACAACCTGTATATTATATTATTGTTGTAGACACGTTTTGTTTATATCTGAAGAAAATAGAAATGTACCATTGAAACGTCATATTATACTGAAGTTTTTAAGTGGACTTTATCTTTTCCCATAACTTTTCTCGTATCAAAAAAACTGATTGATTGAATGATGGGTGTAACTCCTAACACGTTAGCTCGTGTAAGAGTGTCTCTTCATAGAAGAATTAAGACGTATGAACATTTATTTAGTGTGATGTGTATTTTTTTCAAATTTATAACAAAAAATAGCAATATTTAAACTGAACTTTAAGTTTTGACACTGACAATTTCTATTGACTGAAATAAATTTATCCATAAACTTTATAAAAGCGACCTCTTTTATGAAATAAATGTCAAACAAGAGTTTTATCTTTTAGCCAGGGAGTAAAAATTCTATTTTTGCTCTTAAGCGATTATACTTTTACCATGACATTTACCAATGTTGCCTCTTCAGCAATTTCTGGACAGATACACTGTAGATTATTAGCATTCGACATTTTACACTACTAACTGCACTAGTTAAAATAATAAACACTTTCAAAAATCTCAATACAATTCTGATACTGACGCGTGACGTTTATTATGATTTTACTGCAAAGCATCCTGGTTATTTTGTTCATTTACTTGCTAATTACAGTGTTGCTCTTTACTCGCGATCAGAATACGTTTGCGGATAAAATAGTACATGTTATTCGGAGTAAAAGTAAGTTTATGTAACTGATAGAAATTATTTAAAATAATTAATAATTAACGTTCAGATTCACTTTTACTCCTAATAACATAATATACTACTATAGCTTTCATGGATTCATGTCATTTAATAATCTAAAATTGAAATATGCAATATTGGTTGCGTGCACTTTTCGTAATGGTCGACATTTTTATGTGAATGACTCTGTATTTAAAAAATAAAAAAAAACAGACACAAGAACAATTAAAAAAAATACAAAAACCAACAAATAAGAATTGTATTAATTTTTTGCTTACCAAAACATTTTTTCCCGACAAAATCTCCGGAATAGATTTCTCTTGCACATTTGTTAAATTCACAAACGAATGTTTTTGCAAATTGGCCACTAAATACTTATGTATTTGTAAATCAGTGAACTTTTTTTCACCACTGAACACTTTTTCAACTACTGATTTTCCCCTAATATTCGTATTTACGTAAATATCCTTGTGTTTCACAGCAAATAACGAATGCGACGTACTTGCACTTTTCTCACTAGTTTCTCTACTAATCTGCTGATTTCCATCACCTGCTTTTGCAGCTAATTTATCTTTTTTCTGTTTCCTTTTAACGTACTGTTCTGATCCAGTATTACTTGAAATTTTCTCTTGTTGCTTTTCAATCAACTCAAATGATTTATTTCTCGCAATTCCTGCTTCCGGAGCCTTCTTAGGGGCGAATTTAGTGGGGGCTGTTGTTGCACCAGTTTGCTTTTGCTTGGGGGTTGATTTTTTACGCGCAAATACCTTTCCTGCAGCTTGTGCACCATTATTCCAAGTGAATTCAAACGACGTCATTGCGCTAATAACCACTTAATAAATAAAAAACACCAGAAAAGTCTAGTAATAAATAAAACGGAATTGGGGTTAAAATACCCAATAACACAATAATCACACTTTTAACAGTTGACATTAGCTAAAGTCGCACTATTTTCACTGTTTATCGAAACATAGACACAGTTTTGAGATAAATTTCAGTAATTTTAACTTTAAGAAAAAGTGAGGTTAGTGCACGTGTCAATGTCAACCTAGATTGAAGCTAAATTGCAAGAGCTCGAATTCCCATAACTTATAATGAATGAAAAAAATAATATTTTCAGCTTTTATCGTAAAGATTATAATTTCTGATAATAAAATTCCGTTACATTTTTTGATGTTTAGTTTACTAACAACAACTAAATAATCTTTTAAACTATTGTAAACATAAAACAATATGTAAATTCCATTTCAATTGCTTAAAAATTCCAAGGTCACGCAAAGTGCGCTTTAAGATTATTATTATCAATCACCCAAAATGGCGTTTCGACAAGAAGCCATTGCGATTCGGTGCGGTGAAAAGGGCCACTAATGGACCACTAATGCGCCACTAATTCCCGCAATCCCTATTCAGGCGAAACACACAAACAACATCGTCAATGAATTTTCCCTTACAATAGTCGTTGGCCATTGATTTGCTTTGAAGGAGATGTTTAACAGGACGCGTGCGAGCGTTCTTGCGGATTATCGACGACATTTAATGGAAAAGACTTGGTATAGAAGCGTGGATAATTTTAGTGGTTATGGGGCAAATTCTATAATACTGATAAATTGCGACGCAAATGGACTGGAAAGGTTTTCTAGTTTTGAAACTATTTAAAGAGGGATTTGAGAGGAATAAAGGGGAATGCGTAATTCGCTAAAAATGAGCGCTTTTGCTTTTTACATTAGCTTTAGTTGCACGATTTTTTGTTTTTTGTTTAGATAAAAACTTAAAAACCCAAAAAAAAAGAATTAAATTAAACGGTGTTTTATTAACGTTTTTTTATATTTGACTGACATAATTTAATAATCTTTGAAAAGTATTGAATTGTTTGAAAGATATACTCGGAATTATAAGCCCAGAAACGCAACTTACAAATTTTGACTCCAACTTAAACTAAAATTGCACAATTATAAAAACTCAAATTAAAATTTAACTTTTAACTCAAAATTCTACATCAGTGTTTCGTTCTTATACCTAAGTCACAGATTTAATTCATATTACATTTTGGAATT